TTTGAAGCAAGGTCAGAGACCACCCCTGCATCTTTGCTCATTCATGACAGGACATGGTCTCAGGGACCTCACATGAAAAGTGCCGTGGTCTCTGTAGAGTCAGGGAGCTGAGTAAGGAGAGGAGACCCATGCTCCCTGAGTCCACACTGTGCCAGAAAGTTCACTTTCAAAAACTCCTGAGACTGTGTGCCGCCAGTACTTGGCCTAGGGCCTACGCTGTAGGTATCTTGTAAATAGTGGCTGCATGTATGATGCTGGCCAGTCTCCTCCTCAGCTATCTCCCAGCTAGGCATAAAAATGGTCAGTGAAGCATTCCGCTGGGTGAGCTCCAGACAATGTGGCCAGGCATTGGCGGATAGAAGGCCTGTTCTGCCAGGGCCGTGTGTTCTGGCCTGGACTTATCACCTCAGCCTCAGTCTGGGATCTGTGAAATGAGGGGGATGAACACTAACAGCTCTAAGATTCTGTGACTGAACTTAAGTCCCCAGGAAATCCAAGTCTCTCTGCTGGAGTTGACATCTCAGCTTCAGGGCTGCCTGACATGGGCTTGGGGGCCTGGGTGGACCTCCCAGCACCAATACAGGAATTCTTAGCAGGGAAGAGAGAAATCCCCTTTTTTCCAATTGAGATGTAATTCACTTACCATAAAATTACCATTTCAAAGTGCACAACTCAGTGGGTTTTACCAGATTGTACAATGGTCACCACTATCTAACTCCAGAACATTTTAATGACCCTAAAAAGGAAAGCCCAAAGCCATTAAGAAGCTACTCTTTATTGCCCCTTCCCCAGCTCCTGGCAATGACTAATCTACATTTTGTTTTTATGGATTTGCCTAATCTGGATAGTTTATCTAAATGGAACCCCTGCAATACATGGGCTTTTGTGTCTGACTTTTTTCACTTAGGATAATGTCTTCAAGACTCATCCATGTTGTTGTTTTAAGTGCCTTCAAACCCCAACTCAAGGATCGGGGATCAGCTGGTGAGCTTGAACTGCCGACCTTGTAGTTCAAACCATCCTTGTGGGTCCAGTGCATCAACCCACAGCACCACATCAGGATGTTATAACATGTATCAATACTTCATTTCTTTTTACCGCCTGCCACTGACTGATTTCCAGAAGCTGATCACCAGCCCTTTCTCCTCAGTCTGTCATAGCTTGTAGACTGCTGAAACCGGTTACACATCACAGCAACATAGAAACCCACTGACACATGAGTTGTGGCTACATACAAGATGAATTGGCCAGGACTCAAACCCATATTTCCCATGTAGATGGTGAAAATTTCACCTCTGAATCCCGATTCTATTATCCTCAGTCCTTTAAATAGTTGAATAACATTCTGTTGTATGAGTAAACCACACTTCATTTATCCATTCATCTGATGATAAACACTTGGGCTGTTTCCATTTTTGGGCTATTATGAATAATGCAGCTGTGAACATTCATGTATTTGTGTGGGCATGAGTTTTTATTCTCTGGAGTATTTACATAGAAATAGAATTGCTGGGTCATAACGTAATGTAAGGAGCTCTGGTAGCGTAGTGGTTACGAATCGGGCTGCGAATCTCACGGTCAGCAGTTTGAAACTACCAGTTGTTCCGCGGGAGAAACATGAGGCTTTCTGCTCCTGTAAAGATTTACAGCCTTGGAAACCCTGTACAGGGTCGAAACCAACTCACAACAACAAAGCGTAATGTAGGAGTCCTGGTCTGGCTCCATGGGATAAAGCGCTGGACTGCAAGAACAGTTTGAACATCAAGGGCAGTGGTTCAAGCTCATCAGCTGCTTCTCAGAAACCCTATACAGGGTCGCTGTGAGTTGGAACTGACTCGGTAGCATTTAACAATAGCAACAGGGTAATAAGGAGCTCTGGTAGCATAGTGGTTACAAGTCAGGCTGCCAACCTCAGGGTCAGCAGTTCGAAACTACCAGCGTTCTGTTCCCCTAAAGATTTACAGCCTCGGAAACCCTGTGCAGGGTCACTATGAGTCAGAACTGACTCCATGGTATTTATAAGAACAATGTAGTCTTGGTGTTGCACTGTATGATAAGCACTGGGCTGCTAACTGCAAGGTCAGTGGTTTAAACCTACCAGGTGCTCCTTGGAACCCCTATATAGGGTTGTTAGGAGTCAGAACCAACTTGAAGGCACTTAACAACAATAACAAGGGTAACTCTGTTTGACCTTTGAGGAACTGCCAGACTCTTTTCCATGGCAGCTACCCCAATTTACATTCCACCAGCAGAATAAGAGGGGAAATGCACTTTTATTGAGCACCTACTATGTGCTAGAACCCTCACTGCACAGTGGTCAAACCACTTGGTTGCTAGCTGAATGGTCAGAACTTCGAACTCACCAGCTGCTCTGCAGGAGAAAGATGTGGCTGTCTGCTTCCACAAAGATATACAACCATGGAAACCCTTTGGACTAGTTCTACTCTGTTCTGTAGGGTCTCCATGGATCAGAATCGGTTTGTGCTGGATTTTACTATGTGCTGGAGCCTTTCCATGGAAGCCTGGTGTGGTGCTGTAGGATAAACACTGGACTGCTTAACTGCAAGATTGGTGGTTCAAACCCACCAGCTGCTCCTTGGAAAGCCTATGAGTTGGAATCAACTTGAAGGCACTTTATACCCCTGGTGTCCTGTGATCATCACACCACCTTGTAAGATACCTGTTGTTGGCTCTGTTTTATTGAGGAAGACACTGAGGCTCAGAGAAGTGGCTACACCCTCCCAAGGTCACACAGAGAATCTGTGGGAGACCTAGAATCACACCTACTTTTGCCTTGACATTTTCCTGTCTACTCAGTGATTGCTGCTGACTGTCCAGAAGCTCCTCCCCTCACTCCTCCTGGACATTGTTTTACAGACTGGAAAGTTGGACCCTCACTATCCAAAGGTCTGCGGACATAGAGGAAACGTCTTAGACATCAAGTGGAACCCTTTTGATGATTTTGAGATTGCTTCCTGTTCTGAAGATGCCACGGTGAGTGCCTGCTTCAAGCAGCCATGAAGTTGTTCTCATAACTGAAAGGGTGGGATACGGAGGGAGGTAGAGTGGTGTCTACTCAACTCCTTCATCACTGAGGTGGAGGAGGAAGGTGAGCAGATCAAAGAAGAAAAGTCCTGGACTCTGGGACTTGGGGTACCACTCCTCCTTCCTGAGGACCTCAGTTTCTCCACCTGTATGAAGTACATAATAGCTCCCACTTATCTTCTGATGATCCAATGAGATTCAGACTCCAATAAGAAAGCCCACCCTTTGGGGGAACTATACAATAATGTGAGGGGCATTTTCATTGTGGCCAGAAAATACTAAGTCCCTTAATCTCACATACAGCAGGAAAAGAGCTTCAAAAGAGTTGGAGCAGAACCTTATATGAGAATGGGCACCAAGATCATCCCCAACGCTTCATGTCCACCTCCATTTTTGAGCTCCCATTCTATATCAGGATGCAGTCCCTTCCTGGTGTTATTTATTTATAACTTATTATGTGCTTGCTTCTAAAACACAGTGGGTCTGGCTTAAAACCAAAGATATAGATATGACCAAGATAAAAGTCATACTCGAAGCGGTCACATACTGTGAGCCTACTTATACATCGTATTACTTGGTGTTCCCAGCAACCTCACAAGGTAGGATAATTATCTGATGGAGAAGCCATGAATCAGAGAGGTGCAGCAATTTGCCCATGATCACACAGCTTATAAGAGGCAGAGCCAACCTTTAGACTGGGGCCCGTCTGACTCCAGAGCCCATTGTCTGTCCACCAAAGTCTGTCACTTCTCAAAAGACCAAGAGAAAAGTGAGGACATCATGCCAGACACATAGGCACAGAAGAGTTGAAGCAGTTGAGCTTCCAGGTTTTGCTCTGAGCTGCCTGGCAGCTAAGGCAAAAAGGGAAATACATAAAACCTATTGCAGAACCCTCATTGTCTAATCAAAGGAAGCAGACTCGTTCCATCAGGAGAGGCAGGCAGAAAATTCTAAGACCTATGTCAGTTTCCATGTAGGGGAGGACCTTGCTGGGTTTGAGGACCATAAAGAACAGTGTCTGCTGAGTTGGTGCCCTACCACTGCAGTCAGACCATGTGAGAGTGGCCTTGTCTCCAATGAGTGTAGGTCTTTGAATAGGATACCAAATGCCAGATGCTGCGCCCCCTGCTGTAATGCTTTCACACATGCCCAAAGACTCCCTTAAAGGTCTATTAAGTCTCCCTTTGGCCCCATTGTCTGTGACTGTCCTGTCCCAGACATCCCAGAGGCAGGGGGAGTGGACATGATTGTCAGGAATTGGCAGTGCTTTTTCTGGCCCCAGCAGCAGCCCCCAGAGTGATTCCAGACCCTCGTAAACCAAGTGCACTGCTGTTTCCTCCTTGTCCCCTGGGAGCTATGGGGGAGAACGGCTCTTCAGCTCTGGACAGTGGACAGTCTTTGCCTCAAACAGACCTGCTGTCCTCCAGTCCAGGTCCATTTCTGTGCCATCACTGACCTCCCCAATCACATCAGTCTAGAACCTTTCTGGTTTAAAATCTAAAGATGACCAGGAAACCAACATTTGCTGAATTTAATTGAAACAAAGTCTACATGAAAACTCTGTGTTTCTAAGAGAGATTAAGTACAATCACACAAGGGGCTGAGAACTCTGCAGGACACTGAGGAACATCAGGCCAGCACCATTCTGGACTCCATTTCCCTCTGCAGCATCCCCCCAGTACCTCCATTTGTATACCCCTGTGACGGGGAGCTCACGTTCTCCCCCTTCCACCCTCGGACAGCACTGATTTATTAGATGCTGCTTCTTCAGGCTGACCCCTGCCTGCCTGGACTTCCTAAGGCTGTATTCTAGGAGAAGTCCCAGACCTTTTCTCAACCCCATACAACCTAGTCTCTGGTTCTTTAGTCTTTCCTCTTCCAGGCAATCCAGTCCAAGGATTTCTCCCAAAACTCAGTCCTAATCCAGAGCTTACTCTGGCTCCCTAGTGCCGTAAGGATGAACAAAAACATGAACATGGCATTCGAGTCTTCTCCTGGCATTCACCCTGGGCCTTTGGACAAAGAGTTTGCAGACCATTGTACTGTGTAGGATATCCTAGGCTGGAGAAAGATTGGCAGACCTATGGCCCACCCATTTGGGTCAACAGGGTAGCAGAGATTACCAGGGTGCAGATTTGGAAACTTCAGTTTATTTTGGCTGCATGCCTGTCTCTGCTCAGGCTGAGGGGACCTTAATGAAATCTTTGACCCTCTGAGAATTCCCCGGACCCTTCTGCTGGACACTGTCAGTTCTATGGCTTGGGGTTGGCTGGAGTCTGAGGTGGTCTTGGCTAACTCTCTCCCTCGGCGGTGTCTTCCTACCAGATTAAGATTTGGAACATCCCGAAGCATCTGCTGTCAAGGAACCTCACAGCCTTCAAGAAGGAGCTGGTGGGCCACTCCCGCAGAGTGGGCCTGGTGGAGTGGCACCCCACAGCCGCTAACGTCCTCTTTAGCTCTGGCTATGACTACAAGGTGGGTCTGCCTGGAGGAGGTGGTCTGGGCATCAGTTTCCCAAGGTGTACACAAACGGGATTGTTGGTACCATCACCAAGCCTTTTAAATGTTTCCCTGCCATTCTCTAGGGGAGACAGAAACACCTGTGATAGATAAAAGAGTGAAGGGGGAAGAGGCTGGAGGGTCTGGGCTTCCCACTTCTAGATCAGAATGCCTGTCTCCTACTTCTTTAGGCTGTCTCTGCAGGGCTGCTGCCTATGGCTGTGTGGGCTGTCTGTGTACTGCTCCAGGGGGCCACTGTTCATATCCTAGGCTATGGAGTGGGCTACCCTGGAGCTGTGCAGTGCACAACCTATGCAACTAAACCTGTGTATCTGCATGAGGTGGAAGCTGCTCCTAAGAACAGTTTGAAGCCCCCTGGGGTCCTCCCACCATGTATGTTTTGTTGCTCTAAGGCAGATGGTGTTTTCTTTGCACTGACAGCCTGACTCCCAGCATTCCCTGCTACTTCATGGCAGTTAGCTGCAGATCCATACTACCATCTGCAGCTTCCCTCCTGGGGATACTGTGTTTCACTACAGCCAGCCGGCATGTGTCTGCTGCACTCAGCTGACTCTCTCCTGTGCAGGTGATGGTCTGGAACCTGGACACAAAGGAATCTGTCATCACGAGCCCTGTGAGGACAATCGATTGTCACAAAGATGTGATCCTTTCCATGTCCTTCAACACCAACGGCAATCTGCTGGCCACCGCCTGCAAAGACCGCAAGATTCGGATCCTCGACCCTCGAATGGGAACGGTTCTCCAGGTCAGTACTGGGCCAGCATCTGGTATGAGGTCAGAGGAACATGGAGCATAATGGGATTGGAGAGACTTCTAAGAAGTCTTTATATATGTTATCCTCTTATGAACTCTCAGCATCCCTGAAAGGTAGGGTGTCCTCACTTTTCAGATGAGGAAACCAAGGTCAAAGAGAAGTGAAGTGACTTGCTCATACGTAGAGCTGGGTTTGAACCTGGTGTGACTCCAGCGTTTACAGGTTCACCTCAGCTGTCACTGGCCAAGGCGTTGGGAGAGCTGAGGGCCCCACTGTTTCTCCACCATGTGACGGGAAGTAGTGCTTCCCTATCTCTGAACCTCTGTCTCCTCCTCTGTAACAGTGGATCACAGTCCTTTCTCTCAGGGATGCGATGCATAATGCAAGTGGTACTGCCCACCTACCGCATGCATGGCACACATAGGTACTCAACACTCTTCCAGGAAGAGCTTGGAGCTGGGCAGAAGTTTACCTCTCCCACAGCTCAGAAAACTAAGCCTGGACAAAACTAGAGGGGGAGACTCCATGTGCATAGAGGTGGTGCCCTGCACGATTCTCCAGAAAGGAGGGCATTCCTGAAGCGGTAGCATATCAGGGCCTCTCCCACCAAACACACATGTCCTTCCAGGAAGCCGACTACAAGGGGCACCGTGTCAACAAGGTGCTGTTTCTGGGGGGCTTGAAGAAGCTGCTGTCCACCGGCACTTCCCGATGGAACAACCGGCAAATGGCCCTATGGGACCAGGTGAGTCTTGCACCCAGCCCCACCCCCACCCTCACCCTCATCTTTATCTCTTAGCTGAGTGCTTGCTTGATTCATTTGTTGGTTCATTCATTCATTTCTCAGATACTTGCTTAGTACAGTCTTCCAAATGCTGGGGATCCAGGCATGACTAAGAGATACGCTGACAGCCCACTGAGTAAGCCCAGACCTGTGTGTGTCTGGGTGTTCCTGGAGAAGCTGATCTGGACTCATGAGAGGCTCTAGTGTAGGGAGGACACATGGCTGAATCTGGGACAGGACTGGGGGCAGATGGGGTGGAGGTTGGGGACAGAGAGGACCTTTTGGTCAGAGGGACCAGCGAGAGCAAAGACTAGGAATGAGACTGAGAGGTATGGGCATGGAGATCTTGTCATTTAGGGTGGCTTTGGGAGAGGAAGTGGGTCATGGGGGTGGCATGAAGGCCAGGCCAGGCAGGATTCATTTGAAGGAGCACTTGACAAGAGTTTCAAAGACTGAGTTTCCTTCTTCATATACTAAAACAAAACTAACAAACAGGTCAGGGAGGAGCAGAGTGAGATTAGGTACCTGAAAAGTGATTTGTTGATGGCACAATAGAAGGTGGTTGTGTGTTAATGTCTATAAAAATAACATTTCCATCAAACAGCAGCCCACAGATTGGGCCTCAAGAACCGGGGGTATCCTCTTTATGTCCCCATACACACTAACTCAGTCTCTCACACACATGCACACACAAACTCTCTCACACAGTTCCTGTCAGAGACACACACACTCAGTCACTCTCTCGCACCCACCACACACACTAACTCAATCTGTCTGTTACACACACACCAACTCACTCTTTCTAACACGCACGCTCAGTCTGTCTCTCACACACACGATCTTTAGTGTCCACCACACACTAACTCATTCTGTGTCTCTCACAGACAAACTTACTCTCATACATACACACTCAGTTTCTCTCACACACACATACCAACTATGAGAGGAACTCTTGTCTCACACAGCACACTTGCCCATGTTGGGACTGAGGGCCCTGTGAGTAACCACCAGCCTCTGTGCTCTCCCCTTTCCTCACAGGACGACCTCTCTGTGCCTCTCACAGAAGAAGATCTGGATGGCTCTTCAGGGGTTCTGTTTCCCTTCTACGACGTGGATACCAGCATGCTCTACGTGGTGGGGAAGGTCAGCATGCTCTACTTGGGCAGGGAGGTGGCCTCCTGTACCCAAGGCATAAGGCAGAACTACTGCCCATTTGGCCTCACTGGTGCCAGATAGTAGCCTGGAGCCCGTGGGGTGGGGCAAGGACAATACTCTGCCTCTGAGGCTTGTCTGGCCATTGTTAGGGGGCATGGGATTCACACAGGGTACCCAGAGGCATGAGAAAGACAGCCAGAAACCTCACTGGGTGCAAACAGTTCTTCCATCCTGCTCCACAAGTCTTCCTGGAAAGTAGCTTCAGTTCCTGATGGACGCTCATTTGAAGGATTGTGTAGAAATGTGGATACGCATGCACACTAAGTGCTGTATTCAGTAACTGGGGGGTACCTGAAGGTGGACCAGAGTGGGAACCACGGCAGGACCTTCTCTGCACCTGCAGTAGCAGCCCCTTCCCTCTAGCGCCCCTGAAGGGACAAGCCTGTGAGCCCTGCCTGTACCCCACACACCGAAATACACTCTCAGGCACCTGGCTGGCCACTCTTCCCTGTGGTGAGTTCAGCATTCCTTTCCCCTTTAGTTGGACACCCTGCACTCGTCCCTTCCCAGCTCTGGATCAAAATGAGGAGGGGCCTGTTGGCTTTTCTCCACACAGCACCCTGTATTTTGGGTAGAACAAGTCTTCATTGGGTAGGACTGTTCCTTCTTTGACGCCCACCCATGCCAGTAGCTGTCTTCTCCCCCTGCCCAGTTATTAGGATGACAGAAACTCCCCCTAGGGATAAGACTCATGGCTGGTCTCTGAGGACTAGTCAGTTCTAACCTTCGTATGTAGTTTTCAGATGGGAGTGGTCCTGGGGCCTGTCTTCCCAGAGCCTCTGCTTTGGAAGGACAGGGTGGGCTTTAAGTCATGGCTGAGGGATGGAAGGTTAAAATGGGGACACCCCCACCTGAACTCCCTGCTGTTTTCCTTTGTGAGATGTGTTTGCCAACTGTTCACTCAATGTGAGAGCCAGGTTTTTGCTGCGTGGCATTGGCGGCCAGGTGGGGAGCTGATGGAGCGAGCTCTGCATCTTACCTTCCTCTTCCTTAGGGAGACGGGAACATCCGTTACTATGAGGTGAGCTCAGACAAGCCTCACTTGAACTACCTGACCGAATACCGCTCCTGTTACCCACAGAAGGGAATCGGTGAGTGTGGAGCTTTGAGGCCACGTAGAGTTAGGGCTTCAGGGCCAGATCTGGAGAGCTCAGGCCTGAGCCAGGAGAGCCCATATTTGGTAGGGGAGAGGGCACTCACCACACCGATGATGGAAATGTGTTGGGGCTCTAACTGAGGTATGCATGAGGTTGTCTGAAAGCACAGAGGAGTCAGGGAAGACTTCCAGAGGACATAGCACTTGAGGAGTTACGGAGAGCACCAGGAGAGAAGGGAGGTGCTCCCAGCCCAGGGAAGATCAGTTGGCAATGTGTTTCTGGAAAACTTACCCGTGGACACTGAGTTATTTCTGACTCACAGAGACCCTGTAAGATATAATAAATAGAACTGCCCCATAGGGTTTCCAAGAATGTGATGGTGTGGTATATAGGACAAGCACTGAACTACTAACCACAAGGTCGGCAGTTCAAACCCACCAACTGCTCCTCAGAAACCCTATACAGGGTTGCTATGAGTCGGAACCAACTCAACGGAACTTAACAACAGCAACAATCTCTATGAAAGCAGGCTGCCGCAGTTTCGTCTCACAGAGTAGCTGATAGTTTGGATCCACAGTTCTTACGAGCAGTTCTCTGTCACATGGGTTGCTATGAGTCAGAATCAGCCTGAGGGCACCCAACAGCAACACACAGAGCAACCAACTATAAAAATCTAGCTAGAATAAAGAAGTCCTGGAAGGTGGGGACAGCGTCTGGTGATTTCCACTGGTTCCCAGGCACTGGGCCCAGCCCAGCATAAGTATTTGTTTACCATTTGTTGAAGGTGGTTTCTATTGATGTGTGCAGCCTGGTTTTTCAACTCACATTGGGTCACTATGGCCCCCAGGCCAGCCTGTAACCTCTTGTCCCCTTGGCTCACAGGTGTCATGCCAAAGAGAGGTCTCGACGTGTCCTCCTGCGAGATCTTCCGCTTCTACAAGCTGATCACAACCAAAAGCCTCATTGAGCCTGTATCCATGATTGTACCCCGGCGGGTAAGGTGGTGGGGCCATCCGGGGAAGGCAGGACTCAGGTGTCAGGGGCTGGCCACAGGTAGTACCATGGTCATGTGGTGTCACCGGGAGCCAGGAGTCCTGGGTCTCACCCACCTCTGCTCCTGAGTTACTATGTGACCCTGGGCAGTCCCTTTGCTCTCTGGGCTTGGACTTCCACTCCTCAGCAGAGACTGGGGCCCCTCCTACCTGGTCAGCGTCTCACACAATGGTCATCTCTTGGTATCCTGATTTCTTCTGCAGTCAGAATCCTACCAAGAGGACATCTACCCCCCAACCGCAGGGGCCCAGCCCTCTCTGACTGCCCAGGAGTGGCTCAGCGGGGTGAACAGAGGTGAGAGAGGCCTCAGGCAGGTGCCGAGGGGGCTTTGGTTGGAATTTTCATTCTTTCTTAACCCTGGAAGATAATCAATCCCCAGTGTCTGGGATGGTCCCATGTTGGGGAGCCTCTGTAGAGTCTTGTCCTATGTGGCTCAGAAAACTCCTTGCCTCAAGGCCATTGTCCAGTGGAAACACTTCTTTAAACTGTACGAGGTGTACAAGGTGACCAGAGAGTCTCAGCCAGTCTTCCCTTGCCTAGTCCCCAGCCCCATCATTCCTGACCTAAGAGACCCTCTAGATAGCAGTCCCCACCCAGCTAGGCCCTTATGCCACTCGGCCTCCTTGACCACCCACTTCTTTCTCTCTGACCACCAGAGGATCAGCCCTACCCTGCTCTCCAATTTCCAGCATCTGCCTTTGTGATTGGAAACCCCCCCAACTCCCAGTGGTTGAGAGGGGCTTTCCAGGAAACTGTGGTACAGGAGACCAGTTTTGTATAGCCTTTAGATAGGTCTCACTGTGCGGTGGGTCTACCGACGTCATCCAGGGCTGTTGGGAGAATTCATGGACTTGATAAATGGCAGGGTACCATGTGGGTAGGGCTACCTTGAGCTCACAGTATTTGGGGGCCACTCCCACGCATGCCACCTGTAGACAACAGGTAGTAATTGCAGTATGGGTCTCTGTATTGATTGTCCTGGTCCTTGTGTCTGGACTTAGCTGCGTGTGGCCATATCTTCTGAACCAACCTCGTGTGTCTGAGTGGCTCTCTGTGTTGATCCCCCCCACCCCCTAATTGTCTGCTCAGGGATGCTCAGTCCTCACAGTGCCCTGCTTTGTTCCCAGGACCACTCCTGGTGTCCCTCAGGCCTGGCTCGGAGCTGCTGAGCCCAAGGCCAGAGCCTCTAGAGAGGCCTTTCTCCAATTTGGTGGCCCCAGCCTCACCCCAGCCTCCAGAGATCAGCCGGAGGCCTTCATTCGTGCTAGAGGAGAAGGCGCCAAGGTGGGCAGCAGAACACAGGCTGGAGGAGAAGAAAACCTGGTTCTCCAATGGCTTCGATGTTTTCGAGTGTCCCCCACCAAAGACAGAGAATGAGGTGTGAATGAAGGAAGTGGGAGGGGCTCACACAAGGGAGGGAGGGAGGAGGGAAGAAAGGTGGGATGGAGGGAAGGAAGGTGGGATGGAGGGAGAAAATGAGGCTGAGGAGAATTACCTGCTATGTGGCTTGGTCCAGTCACTTAACTCATTTTGTTAATTCATCCAGCAGCAGATGCCAAGATGGTAGGTTTATTCTCCATCTGTCAGGTGAAGAGGGAATCCTGGGTGATGAGGTGCTAATTTACAGTTTGGAGGTTCAGCTTCACCTAGAGGCCCCTCGGGAAAAAGACCTTGTGATCTACTTCTGACAAATCAGCCATTGGAAACACTACGAAGCTTAGTTCTACTATGACACACATGGGGTTTCCATGAGTCACGATCAACTCAACAGCTACTAGTGAAATTGGAGAGGGTATTATGTGTCTGATAGATATTCAAGTTTTTTTTAGTTCTTTTGTTTTTGTTTGGTTCTGACATTCTATGATTTTCTTTGCTTTCAGAACCAACATTTGTTAAGAACCAACATCTGACGAGACTTTATCTTTCATACTTTAGACATGTTGTTACAACAGTGATCCTATGTACAACAGAACAAAACAATACCCAGTCCTGTGCCATCCTCAGAGTTGTTATGTTTGAGTCCATTGTAGCTGCCACTGTGTCAGTCCATCTCGTTGGGAGTCTTCCTCTTTTTTTCTCATTCTTTCAATTTTAACAAGCATAATGTCTTTCCAGGGACTGGTCCTTCCTGACAGAATGTCCAAACTACGAGAGATAAAATCTCACTATCCTGGCTTCTAAGGAGCTCTCTGACTGTACTTCTTTCAAGACAGATTTGTTTGTTCTTCTGGCAGTCCATAGTATTTCCAATATTCTTCACCAACATCCTGCTTCAAATGCATCAATTCTCCCACGGTCTTCCTTATTCATTGACCAATTTTCACATGCATATGAGGCCATTGGAAATACCATGGCTTGGGTTAAGTGCGCCTTAGTCCTCAAAATGACCTCTTTGCTCTTTAACACTTTAAAGAGGTCTTGTGCAACAGATTTGCCTAATGGAATACGTGATTTGATTGCTTGACTGCCACATCCATGAGTGTTGATAGTAGATCCAAGCAAAATGAAGTCTTTGACAATTTCAATCTAAATAATATCATGATGTTATTTAGCAGTGAAGATTTTTGTTTCCTTTATTCTGAGGTGCAGCCCATACGGAAATCTGTAGTCTTTGATCATCATCAGTAAGTACATCAAGTCCTCTTTGCTTCCAGAAAGCAAGTTTGTGTCATCTGCTTATCTCAGGTTGCTAATGAATCTTCCTCCAACCCCGATGCCACGTTCATCATATAATCCATTTTCTCAGATTATTTGCCCAGCATACAGATTAAATAGCTATGGAGAAAGGATACAACCCTGAGGCACACCTTTCCTGATTTTGAACCATTCAATATCCCCTTGTTCTGTTTGACTAATTGCTTCTTGGTTCCTCATGAGCACAGTTAAGAGTTCTAGAATTTCCATTCTTTACAGTGTTATCCATAGCTAATCATGATCCACATGGTCGAATGCCTTTGCAGACTCAGTAAAACACAAGTAAACATTTTTCTCGGCTTTTAGTCAAGATGCATCAGCAATGATAAGGCTAGTTCCACGGTCTCTTCTGAATCTGAATCTGCCACAATTATTTTTAAATTATCTTCAGTTAAAATTTTACTTTCATGTGATAGTAATGATATTGTTCAATAATTTCTGCATTCCATTGGGTCACCTTTCTTTGGATTGGGCACAATTATGGATCTCTTCCAATCGGTGACCAGATAGCTATCTTCCAAATTACTTGGCACAGATGAGTGAGACCTCCAGCGCAGCATCGTTTGTTGGAACATTTCAATTTATATTTAATCAGTTCTGGGGGCCTTGCTTTTCACCAGTGCCTTCATTGCCACTTAGATGTCTTACTAAAATGTCAATTCTTGATCATATGCTACCTCTTGAAGTGATTGAACATCATTTTTCTTTTGATGTAGAAGAGATGACAGTGGAGTTCCTGACCCTAGATGGTTGTCTATATTCAGGGCATTCAGTCCAGAAGTAGTTTGTGGGGGCCCTTGGTGAAACCATTTTGAGGGTGCTAGGATGGCAGGGTGTCTGGTTATGAGGGATTTTGCTAGACTCATGCTGGTCTGGTGGCTTTGCGGGTTCTGTAGGTCTGAAGCCAAGTCTACTTGGATCCAGGCACCAGGCACCAAAGTGGTGCAGCTGGCCCCTGTCTCATATTGACATAGCTCACAACCACCCACCTGGCTCTAAACTCCTAGAGAGCAGGGTCTGCACTGGGGGTGGATGGAGGTAGGAGCTGCCACACCTCTGGTTCTCAGGAGATCGTGGTGAAAAAGAAGGACTCAATCACACCTTTCCTGTCGCCTATGTGAACCTGCTCTGCCAGACCACCTTCTGTTGCCAAGGCTGCTCACAAAAGTTCAAGATGGTTGTGCTGTGTCTGGCTGACCATTCACCAGTGTCCCTCTCTCACCGTAACTGCCAAGCTTCTTCTAGCATGCATTCAGAACCTCTGAAGTTCAGAGTTCCAGAATTTTTATCTGTTCCTCTTTCATTTGGTCTCTTTTATCTTTGCTGTAGTGTGCCTGCCTGATCCACCATCTTGCCAGAAGTCGCTCTTGCCTGTCTTTTTAATGACCTTTTACTTTCTTCATGTATAATGTTCTTGATGTCATCCCACACCACCTCCAGTCTTCATTTGTGTTCAGTGTGTCAAATCTGCTCTTGAGATGTTCTCTAAATTCAGGTGGAATATATTGAAGGTCTAGTTTTGACTCTTATAAACTTGCATATGAGTGATTGATGATCTGTTCCACAGGGGCCCCTGGACTTATTTTAGCTGATTATATTGAGCTTCTCCATCGTCTCTTCCCGCAAATGCAATCAGTGTGATTCCTGTGCATTCCATCTGGTGACATCCATATGTATTATTGTTGTTGTTGTTGGTAGGTGCCATCAAGTTGGTACCGACTCATAGTGACCATGTGCAAAACAGAATGAAACACTGCCCAGTCCTGGCCTAACTTCACAGTCTTTGCTATCTGCTGCCACTCTGTCAATCCAACTCCTTGGGTGTCTTCCTCTTTTTCTCTGACCCTCCAATTTACCAAACATGGTACCCTTCTCTAGTGACTGGTCCATCATAACAATATGTCCGAAGTATGAGAGCTGAAGTCTAGCCATGCTGACTTCCAAGGAGCACTCTGGGCATACTTCTTCCAACACAGATCTGTTTGTTCTTTTGGTAGTCGTGGTACTTTCAGTATTCTTCTCCAGTACCATAACTAATGCTTCAATTCTTCTACAGTCTTCCTTATTTATGGCCCAACTTTTGCATGCATATGAGGTTATTGAAAATACCATGACTTAGGTCAGGCACACCTTAGTCCTCAAACTGACGTCTTTGCTCTACAACACTTTAAAGAGGTCTTGTGCAGCAGATTTGCCCAATGCAATACATCATTTGATTTCTTGACGTCTGTGTCCATGAGTGTTGATGGTTGATCTGAGCAAAATGAACTCTTTGATAATGTCAACGTTTTCTCCATTTATATGGATGTTATCTATTGGTCCAGTGATGAGGATTTTTGTATTCTTTACATTGAAATGCAACCCATACGGAAGGCTGTGGTCTTTGATTTTCATCAGTAAGTATTTTTAAGTCCTCTTCACTTTCAGTAAGCAAGGTTGTATCATCTGCAGTCTTCCTCCAATCCTGATGCCACGTTTTTCTTCATATAATCCACTTTTTGGATTATTTGTTTAGCATACAGATTGATAAGTATAGTGAAAGAATAAAACCCTGGTGCACACTTTTCCTAATTTTAAAACATTCAGTGTTCCCTTGTTCTGTTAGAACCTCTTGGTCTGTGTGCAGGTTCCTCATGAGCACAATAAAGCACAGGTAAACATTTTTCTGGTATTCTCTGCTTTCAACCCAGATCCATCTGCCATCAGCAATGATATCCTTCTTTCTTATGTCCTCTTCTGAATCTGGCTTGAACCTCTGGAAGTTCTCTATAAATGTATGGTTTCAGCTATTTTTTGCATTATCTCTAATAAAACTTTATTAAATTAAAACTTGACTCACATGGGGTATCAATGAGATTGTCCAATGATTACCGCATTCTGTTGGGTCATCTCTCTTAGGAATGGGCACAAATAGAGATGTCTTCTGGTCAGTTGGGCAGGTTGTTGTCCTCCTTGTCCATCTTGGCATAGATGATGGATGCCTCCAATTGCGCATCAATTTATTGAAAGATTTCAATTTGTATTCCATCAATATCCGGTACCGTGTTCTTTGCCAATGACTTCAATGCACCTTGGACTTCTTCTTTCATGATCATTGGCTCTTGATCATATGCTACCTCTGGAAATGGTTGAATATTGACCATTTCTTTTTGGTACAGTGACTCTGTGTATTCCTTCCATCTTTTTTTGATGCTCTCTGCTTCATTCAATATTTTGCCCACAGAATCCTACAATACCACAAGTCGAGGCTTGAATTTTTCTTCAGTTCCTTCAGCTTGAGAAATGCAGAGCATGTTCTTCCCTTTTAGTTTTCTAACTCCAGGTCTTTGCACATTTTGTTATAATATTTGACTTTGTCTTCTTGAGCGAACCTTTGAAATTTTCTGCTCAACTCTTGTACCTCTTCACTTCTTCCATTTGCTTTAGCGTCTTTACGCTGGAGAGCAAGTTTCAAAGTCTCTCCTGACCTCCATTTTGCTCTTTTTCTTCCTTGTCTTCTCAATGACCTTTTGCTTTCTTCCTGTGTGATGTTCTTAATGTCACCCCACAATTCTTGTGGTCTCCTGTCTTTAGTGTCTAATGCATCAAATCTATTCTTTAAATGATCTCTAAATTCAGATGAGATATATTGAAGGTCATATTTTGGCTCCCATGGACTTGTTTTAATTTTTTTCAGCTTTAGCCTGAGTTTGCATATTCTGTTCATAGTCTGCCCCTGGCCTTGTTTTGACTGATGAAATGAAGCTTTCCCATATATGTCTCCTCCACAGATGGAATCAATTCAATTTCTGTGTATTCCATCTGGTGAGGTCCATGTATCGAGTCATCTTTTATGTCGTTTAAAAAAATATTTGCAATGAAGAAGTCATTGGTCTTATATAAAATTCTGTCTTGCTATCTCCACATCGTTTCTATCACCAAGGCCATATTCCTAACACTTTGTTTCCAACTTTTGCATTCCAATTACTCGTAATTATCAATGCATCTTGATTACATGTTTGATCAATTTCAAACTGAAGAAGTTGATAGAATTCATCAATTTTATTGTCTTTGATGTTAGTGGTTGGTACATAAATTTGAATAATAGTGGCATTAACTGGTCTTCCTTGTAGGCGTATGTATGGATATGATTCTATTACAACAGCACCATGCTTCAAGATAGATCTTGAAAAGCTCTTTTTGACAATGAATGTGACACCATTTCTTATCAATTTGTCATTTCTGACATAGTAAACCATACAATTGTCTGATTTTGAATGGCCAATACCTGTCCATTTCAGCTCACTAATTAATGCCTAAGACAATGGTATTTATGCATTTCATATCAATTTTGATTATTAATGGATGTTTGTATCTGTTTTTTCTCATTTTGAGTTGTGCCCAATCAGCAAATGAAGGAACCAAAAGCTTTGCTCTATCATTAAAGTCAACTCTACTGTGAGGAGGCAGCTCTTCCCCAGTCGTATTTTGAATGCCTCCTAGCCTGAGGGGCTCATCTTCCAGCACGATATTTGCTATTCATAAGGTTTTCAATGGCTAACCTCCAGAAGTGGTCAGCCTCTCTTTCCTAGTCTTAGTCTGGAAGCTCCACTGAGACCTGTCCACCATGGGTGACCCTGCAGGTACCTGAAAATATCAGTGGCATAACTTCCATCATCACAGCACCACACGCGCTATCAACAAACTGACAAACGAGTGGTGGAGTCAATCCGTAACAGTCAGTATATACAGTAAAACCTGTGTAGACCCAGTACTTGTATAATGTGGAAACATGTGAAAGAAAAGAAAATTCAAATATTTGCACTAATAGGGAGCAATAAAAAAATGGCAGAAAGGCAGAAATCTTGTGAGAAAAACAATGCAGTCTCATTGAGTTCCGGCTCTCACAGGTTCCCCTTTAGTAGCTAAAACTACCACAGGCTTCTCACAGAGGATTCTGGTCCTGACTCTGCTAAATACTGACTGGGGAATCTCACACCCTAGGTGTCTGTAGGCTTTAATGAAAGCTTCCTCAGTGGTCAATGGGGTCCTATCACAGCTGCCCACCAGGATGTGGTGAACATTCAGGGAGAAAATGATCGTCCTTAGCCAAACACTCAACACCAAGTAGCCATTCCATGCAGTGGCAGCAGTTACAGTGCTGAAGTTTGTTTTCTGGACCCCAGTTTCCAGAGGCAGAAATGGAAGCTCAGAGAGGATAATAACCTAACCTTCCCAAGGTTACACAGCTTAGTGGTGATGGAAACTCAAGTTTACAAACTTCAGGACCTAGTGTCCCTTCCACTATCCCATGGGAGATCTAAGGAGTCAAAATATATTGGAAACCTTTAAGTCTGCTTGAATTTCATTTGTTGGGTCGTAAAACACAAGGTTACCATAAAAGGTCTGTATGGTTAATGGCTGCAGTCCTGGTGTGGACCTACATGTAAGACAAGCAAGTACTCAGTGGCAAGGTCTATTAGAACCGCAAGATTGGCAGTTCAAAATTACCATTCGCTCCTCAGAAACCCTATACAGGGTCACTAGAAGTTGGAATTGACTTGATGGCACTTAACAACAGCAACAGCAGTTAAGGTCTAAACCACACACACACACACACACACACACACACACACCAGGCTTCAGCCACATTAATTTAATCACTGCCATCTCTATGAATCAAAAAGAGGTCACGTTTTAGCTTTTCTGCTGGTGTGATGGCACCAGGTGACCTGACCCTCTGTTCTTTGCTTTCCCAGCTACTGCAGATGTTCTACCGGCAGCAGGAGGAGATACGAAGGCTCCGGGAGCTGCTGACCCAGCGTGAGGTGCAGACCAAACAGTTGGAACTGGAGATCAAAAACTTGAAGATGGGTTCAGGAAGATTCTGAGCAGGGACCTCTGCCCTCCTCGCCCTCAGGGACACCACTCGGCTCCGTGGGGAGGCCCAGAACCTAGCCGCAAGTCCCCCAAGAACAACCACTATTTCTTTATTTTTTACAAGAAAACGAAACTCTCAAGTCACTAAGAGAGATTCCAGTGGGACCTGGTGCCGCTATTCTATTTGCCTTCTTGAAAGAAGTTTCTGAATTGACTGTTTTAGAAGATACCTTGCCTTCTGTTTAAGTCTGCTTTTATGGGCCCATAATAAGCTGTCATTTATGAAAGGGGGAAGAAAGTTGTACAAAGTTAGAGCTGGGAGAACATGGAAGGTGTACCCATTTGTGATTTTCAGACGATAATCCGCTGAATGAGGGCTAGCTCCCGTATCCTGCTCCACCAGACAGCTAGCTCTCCTTTATTGGGCTTCTGTGGAAGACATAATACTACTACTAAAAAAACAAAAATTAGAAGTTTGAAAATTAGTGTTTGGGTGTAAACTCCACCCCATTTTGCAGATGGGGAGACTGAGCCCTAGAGAAAGGCAAATATTTCAGTGACACCAGAATGTTCATGGCAGGGCTGAGCTGAGATCTTGGTCTCCTAGGACTGTCTTTCCACTGTTTCTGGCCTGGGGCAGGAGTCCTTTGGGTCCGGCCTCAACTGCACCCCAAAGTGCTCAGTGACTTCTGGCTGACAAGCCCTTCCCCCTCTGGTCTTAGTTTCTTAGTTTCCCCATCTGATCCAGGAGGCCTTTGAACAAGCCGCCTGTTCTAGGATCTCCCACCTAAAATAAGAAACCTTAGCCATGGCCTGAAGAAGCGGCTACATGGAGGGCGATGATCTGGGTTTGCTGCAGACACTCATAAGACAAAGGGACTGACAGTTTAGGGGAAGGAGTCAGGATTTAGTCCAATTCTAGAACACAGATAAAAGGGTCAAAACCATCGTATCTTCAGCTAGATATTGGTAAATAGTATCCCTTATTTGCTGACACCTACATCAGAGAGCTGCGCACAACCACTGATGGCCTTGGGGTCATGGAGTTCCCCTCCTCCACTGCCCAGAGGCAGATTCCAGCCAAGTTAACAGAAGAGGCCCCCTAGGAGGTAGGGTGTCCCCCATACTGGAAGTATGTAAGGAGAGCTCTGTGACCATTGCCCAGAAGGGTCTCCTAGGGAGGATGACTGCACTGGGCGAGAAGACAGAATTAGATGGCCTCGAAGTCTTGTTCCAGCCTAAAAGTGTTCATATCCCTCTTGTGACTCTTGAGTTGTGAGCCCTGCTCTAAGGATTTCGCTTCCTAAGTTCAAGGGCCCAGCAAGAGACTAGGAGTAACTAGAAGTTAAATGTGCCCTCCTTCCATCCAAAGAGAGGCAGAGAAAGAATTGTCCCCATCGGGAGCAAAGATGGGGGCTGCAGGAGCCCACCTTGACTATTGTGCTTCAACCCCGGCTGTACGGTAGAGAGCCCTGGTGGCTCCGTGGGGAGGTCCAGAACCAAGCCACAAGTTCCCTGAGAACAACCTCTATTTCTGTATTTTTCACCAGAAATGAATCATCTCAAATGCTGAAAGGGATTCCAATGAGACCTGGTGCTGCTTTTCTGTTAGCTTTCTTGCAAGAAGTTTCCAAAGTGACTGCTTTTAGATGATACCTTGCTTTCTGTTTAAATCTGTTTTTATGGGTCCGTGATGAACTGTCACTTCTGAAGGCTGCTAACCAAAAGGTCAGCGGTTCAAACCCATCAGTCTGCTTGCATAAAGATTACAGCCTTAGGAGTCCTAATAGACCAGGTCTCTTCTGTCCTATGGGGTTGGTATGAGGCGGAATAAACTCCATAGCAACGGCTTTGGAGTTTGGTTTGGTTTGTACATTAAGATCACCTATAGAGGGCATTCAGAAAATTCAGGTGCTCAGCCCCCATCCTGGAGCAAATAACTCTGGATCTTGGAGCAGACCTGGACATCTGTACATGTTTACAAGCTCCCCAGTAACTGCAGTGCAGTGAGATCCACTGGACTTATCCAGCGAAGATGAGAGCACTGAGCTGGGACGCCAAGTCTCCAGAGAGCCAGGATTCAAACCCCCATTCTCTGAGTTGGAGCTGGCGGCTCATATAATAATTAGTAAGTGTTGTCTCCAGCCCTGGGACCCCAGTGCAGTCACTTGTGCTGTGTTCATCTTTGCCACCTCCTAGCCATGGCTGATTCATTCCCGTCTGTCTGCACCCACCAGACGCCCAGGTTCCTATTCCCCTTATTGTCTTCCATGCACTCAGTCACTGGGGCTCGCTCCAGTCTGAGGCCCCAGCCAAGCTTGCCTTATTGTGCTCTGGAGAAAAAGGCCAAATTCCAGACGTATCAGGGAAGCAGAGCTCCACTGGATGGGGTTACGTCTCCCACCTTTGTGGCCAGCACTTCACAGTTTACAAAGTCGTCCCACCTGCACTCACTGATGCATCCTACTGTCTTGCGGATCAGGCGGGCTTTACCCTCCCGTCCAGAGGGAAGCCTAGCCCCAGAGCAGTGAAGAAACATCACGGCCAAGGTCACTGGCTGCAGTGTTCTGAGTCCAGAGAGCTTTTTATTCCGTCTGCCTCCCTCTGCACCATCCCTTCTCAAACCCTCTACCCCTGAGGGACCCAGACCTCATGCTTAGAAACAGTACGCAGGCGTCTTTGAACAAACTTTTTTCTTTTCTTTTTTTTACATCTAGAATAAATTATTTAAATTATTTCTCAGCAAGGGAGAGGGATAGGTAATTTTTACCTGATATTTTTTTAAGCTTTTTTTTTTTTTTTCCAATTATGTTTTTGTTTATGTTCTTGAGCTACTGACCCAAAACTTGCCCAGAGACAGCAGGGCCCAGCCAATCTGCAGAGGGTGCATTCAGCCCCTTGGAAGTCACCTGGCTGTTGCTCAGGAACTTTCTGCAAATGAAGGCAGAATTTGCAGATGAGTTTTGTGGAGCTGGTGGTTCTCTACCTTAGCTCTAAAATAATTGTTCTTCCTGGAACAAAGCTTGAGATTGTATCATGGAGAGAAACAAGGAGTCGGAATTTGATTTACGCTTTTAATATGAAACCGTGCCTGAAACAGTTCAAATGATTGTTTTATCGTTGTTTCTGAAATTTTACCTTTGTAAAACAAAATAATAATAACAAACGTGAAAATAAATGTTGTGGAATCGTGCAATGGAAAGAATGTAACAAATAATAAAATTTGGATAGACATTTTATTACAAGGAGCTTTCTTTTTTTTATTATTTGTTCCACAAACACTAATTAAACCTTAGTGGGTCCACAGGAGAAAGATGTGGCAATCTGATTCTAAAGAGAGTATAGCTTTGGAATCCCCATGGGATAGTTGTACTCTGTCTTATAGGAGTCCTGATGTGGTGCTGTAAGATCAGCACCAGATGCTGATTACAAGGTCAGCACTTCAAACAAACCAGCAGCAACTCAGACATCCTGTACAGCAGGGGTGGGGAACCTTTTTTCTGCCAAGGGCCATTTGGATATTTAGAACACCATTCTCGTGCCATACAAAATTATCAACTAAAAAAACCAGCCTGCTGTAATATGGTGGCTGGACCTGCAGTTGTCTTGGCAGGGTCAGACCAAATGTGGTCCATGGACTGGACGTTCCCCACCCCTGTTATACAGAATCACTGTGAGTTGGAATCAGCTTGATGGCACAGAACAACAGGTTCACCAGGAGTCCTCATGTGCTGTAGGAGAGGCACTGGATTGCTAACCACAAGGTCAGAAGTTCAAACCCACCAGAGGTCCACAGGAGAAATGAGGTTGTCTGTTACGAATCGAGCTGTGAAACTAAGGTCAGCAGTTCAAAACTACCAGCTGTTTCACAGGAGAAAGATGAGGCTTTCTGCTCCCGCAAAGATTTACAGCCTTGGAAACCCCATACAGGGTCGCTACAAGTCGGAACTGACTCCATGGCACATCATGTCGACGATGACACTCCCCTCAAGATTTACCATCTCAGAACTCTAAGGAGCAGTTCTACTCCATACTATACCAGATCACTATGAGTTGAAATCTATCAGCTGGCTGTGGGTTTTGTGGGGTCACTGTGAGTCCCAACACTCGTCTGTCAGTTTGTTGTACTGTGGTGTCTTTGAGGTTGATATCACGGTGGTAGCTTTGCCACCAATATTTCAAATACCAACAGGATCATCCATAGTGGACAGGTTTTGGCAAAGCTTCCAGAATAGGTAGCCCGAGTCTGAGGGCTCATCCACTGAAAACCTTGTGAATAGCAGTAGAACATTATTTGCTATAGTGCTGGAAGATGAGCCCCTTAGGTTGGAAGGCATTCAAAATATAACTAGAGAAGAATGATACGGACAGAGCAAAGCTTCATTTGCTAATGGGCATGACTCAAAATGAGAAGAAGCAGCTGCAAACATCCATTAATAATCAAAACGTGGAATGTACAAAGAACTAACTGGAAGACATAAAGATCGATATCGTAGGTATTGATGTTAAGTGCTGTTGAGTAGGCTCTGACTCATAGCGACTCTGTATAGAGTTTCCAAGGAGTGGCGGGTGATCTTGAACCACTAACCTTGCAGTTCAAACCAACCTTGCAATTTGGTGCATTAACCAGCAGTGCCACACAAGGGCTCCATCCTACACATTGTTGTTGTTAGGTGCCACCAAGTGGGTACTGACTCATAGCGACCTTATGCACAGCAGAACGAAACACTGCCCAGTCCTGGGCCAACCTCACTATTGTCACATTTGAGCCCATTGATGCTGCCACTTTGCCAATCCATCTCTTTGGAGGTCTTCCTCTTTTTCTCTGACCCTCCACCTTACCAAACATGATATCTTTCTCCAGCGACTGGTCCTTCCTGACAATATGTCTAAAGTATGAGAGACAAAGTTTGGCCATCCTGGCCTCCAAGGAGCACTCTGGCTGCACTTCTTCCAACACAGATCTGTTGGTTCTTTTGGTAGCCTATGACACTTTCAATATTCTCCTCCA